CACATAATATACATGCAAATGACTTCACCCTATTTACAAATTCAGCTTCTTGTTGATTAAACTGAGACGATAACAGTATCGTTCTCAAAAACTTGTATTTTCAGGCCCCCAAAATGCAGTTGTCGTGTAAATGAACGGCAAATCTGCTTAAAAAAATTCTAATTTCTAAAGATTACATTTAACAGTGTTATTTAATTATTGTTTGTTGTGTTATTATTGTTCTTTTACTAGATTCAGATTCAGTTTAGATTACATTACCATTTCTGATACACTGTAAAAATGAATACGCTTAATCAAATTATGGCAACAGATTACAAGCAATATTATTAATTAAATTTAACAAATTAGATTTGAGTAATAATTAATCAAATTATTCATTAAAAGTTAACCATTTAAAATGAGTAAAGTTTACACCAAAAAAATTTAACAAAAATATCTGAATAACAGACAGACGTCAAAGATTAATTAAGAACTCTTTATTTTATATTGCCAACATTGAAGATGCCTGATGTTAACAAGCAGAATCACTGAAGGAGAAAGCCATAATTGTAAAACAATCCTAAAACAAACACAGATCACCATAATGGTGACTTCAATTTAAGTTTTTTTTGTTGTGTTTCTTGGAAGTTTTACTCATTTTAAATTGTTAACTTTTTAAGGAATTCATTTAATTATTACTCAATTCTAATTTGGTACATTTAATTAATAATAATGCTTGCAATCTGTTGCCAACCCCCCTTTTTTTTTGATTAGATAAAGCGTATTCATTTTTTACAGTGTAGACGACAATATCTAATATCAACCAATAATTGATATGTTACTGATATATGCATCCTTAATGCCAATGGATGTCTGTGTGACATGATCTATGGGTTGTCGGCACTCTGTATACAGAAACTGAATTTATTAGGAAATCACTCACTGTAAAAAAAAAATTCAAGATTTTTTATCACAACATATTTTCTTTTGTCAAATCAACTTTATAATAATTTATTTAGTTGAGATAACTTATTATTTTGAGTTTCTGATGATTAAATTAATCTCCTTCATTGTATTAACTCACTTTTTCCAGTTCAATCAACTTAAAATTTTAAGGCAACCCAAGTTACTTTCTTTTTCAAGTTAAACCAACAATATTTTTTTTTTACAGTGTAGTAATCACAAATTTTTTTCTTTTGTCAAATCAACTTAAATAATTTATTTAGTTCAGATAACATATAATTTTGAGTTTCTGATGATTAAATCATTCTCCTTCATTGTATTAACTCACTTTTTCCAGTTCAATGAACTTAAAATTTGAAGGCAACCAGGTTACTTACTTTTTTAAGTTAAACCATCAATATTTTTTACAGTATATTACCTAGGGAGAATTTTATTATAGGTATACCATGTATTCAGCTTTCTGTGAGAGTGCTGACAAAAAAAAATAGAAGGAGAGTGTAGGAAGAGAGCGAAAGCGACAGAATTAAAGAAAGTCTGTCACCTCATCATATGAAGACCTACTTCTGCACATAAAGATGCTTCCTCTCTCCCTGTTCTGTCATCATTAAACTCAATCCTACAGAAGGGCTGGAGAGGTGAAGATGTGTGTGTGTGTGTGGCTTCACAGCTTCCCCTGGATGTGTGGATTAACTAGCCACTGCAACATCACTTCCTAGTTTGGTGCGTGCGCTTGTCTTTGTGTGACTTTGCCTGCTTCTGTCTGAGCGTGTGCGTGTCCTTGCCTTTCCTCCGCATGTCCTGTTTGATTTATCCTCGGCGGAGGGGCTTTGATGACTCCCTTCTGATCTATTTGGTTGAAAAATAAGAGAAATTGCGCCATTGCTTTTTATACTTGAGTAAAAGAGATGGAAAATGGGCCACAGGGGGAACTTTGCACATGCGCACACACAGTGTTCAGGGCCGAGCATGTGTGCTTTACTGCTGTTGTTGAAACTCATTTACTAATGTATGTTTCATCCTTAATGCGTTGGTGCAATGTATTTTGTATCCGCATCCCTATTAAAAGGCATATGATTCCAGACTCCTGTGTATAGAAATGTAGGCTGGAGACAGAACGTGTTCATCTAGTCTCAAGACCTCTTCTAACTTAGTTAGCTTTCTGTCATCTGACATCAGCAGTGGTGGCTTTACTTCACCTCGGGCCCTAGATGAGATCAGACTGCTCAGGAACCTCGTGATGATCTCAAATAGATGTTTATTTAATGAGAGTGGTGGTCTGGATGTTGTTAGTGTCATGCTGTGCTGTTTGAGCTTCAGGAACACCATATAGTGCCTATGCCAGTCTGCATTATTTTACACTACTTATATTACGTTATTGTACATCTTTTTGTATAAAAATGCATTTAAAATAAGTAAATACTGTAGTTAACTCATGTTAACAATTGGAACCTTATTGTAAAGTGTTACCATCTTATTTTATTAACCCTTTGATTTTATTTTTTACACCGCAACATGGAAACAAGCCTCTTAAAGGAGAACTCCGGCGCAAAATTAACCTTTGGTCTAATTACACATTGGTACCTTGTCAACTGTTCTCTGAGATTTGTTTTTTATGATAATCAAATCTAAAGAGTTTTATCTCTAAAAATTGTTTGTATAACACTAGTATATGGGGGCATAAGTTAGGCAAAAAAATCGCTAGTTAATACCACTATCAATGCTCAAAATGGCCCCACACTAACACAGTAACATAATGAGGGTCCATACATGCAAAACGAAGCATTGAGGACTTTGTAAGTTTACAGACTGTTTAATAAGAATATATTACAGTATATTGAGCCTTGTTAGTGGTATTAACTAGCAATTTCTTTTTACTTATTATAAACTGAAAAAAAAATAATATGCTTTACCTAATCAATAAAATTGTTGCAACATATTACAAGCAATATTATTAATTAAATTGTACAAATTAGAATTAATTAGAATGTTAATTTTATTAACTATTACTCAATTCTAATTTGTTTAATTTAATAAATAATATTGCTTGTAATACTGTATGTTGCCACAATTTTATTGATTAGATAAAGCAATGTTTTACAGTGTATGCTCCAATATACTAGTGTTATAATCATAACATATCATAACATAAAACTCTTTACATTCGATTATCATGAAAACAAATCTCAGAGAACAGTCCACTCGGTACCAATGTGTTATTAGACCAAAGGTCATTTTGCCATGATTGACATAAAATGAGGGAATGAATAAAAAATTGTTGTGGGAGTGAATTATTCATCAAATGCAACCATATTTTTTTTTTCTTCGACAAATGATGTCCCTGGCTCCATAATGTTATAAACTTAAGACACTTATTTAAAATCTAGTTGTCATTGGTGACTATGTGTCCCTATGAGGGTTCATTAGATATTGTTAAATTGTATCTTTTAGAGTGTGCAACAACAAAGTTGTTATATATTTATATAGTGAACAAATAGGAATCTCTACATATGTATGTGGAAAGTCTCAAACTGGTTAGCATTTTGAAGCAGACTCAATCAGCAAGTCAATTGTTCAGAAGAGTTTTTAGGAACACCTCACTGAATTGTGATGTCCATATCAAATGTCCAAATCATGTCCAGTTTTTGAATTTGGAACTATTGCTTGTAATTAAAGAAATATATTCAGAAAGAGTATGCTTGTATGCTGCTGAAAGTTGACACAGTTAAGCTTTCACAGACAGGCTAACATTTCACAGACAGACTTTCTGTTCTGGGAAATGGAGAAATATTGATGACTCATCCTCCTCTACAAAGATTTTCGTTCAATCAGATTCCCTCTATAATGAGACTCGCTGTTCTGTGATATAGACCTTATGCTCCAGAGAAACAAGCGCACAGCCAATGTTAGAGTTCTGTGTTTGAACTTCTGTATATTTCTATGGCATCGCAGTCGAAGAGTAATTAGCTGGTGAAGTAGATTTACTTATTTTAGAGTTAACGAAAGTTCTCATGAGCATTGCAATGTTTGAAGCAGATGTCATATGTATTTGTTATTAAGGAAACACTTTCACAAGTTTGTTTTTATTTTTTATTTTTTTTTCGGAAAACGTTCCCATACGTTATATTACTGGTTATTGGTTAGCATTGTAAGATCCAGTTGTAACTGAATCTATTTTAGTAGTAGTAGTTCACTTTTAAAAAGAATGTTGCTCATAGTTTACTCACTCCCGTGTCATCCAAGATCTCCATGTCTTTCTTTCTTCGGTCGAAAAGAAATTAAGGTTTTTGATGAAAACATTCCAGGATTTTTCTCCATATAAAGGACTTCATTGGGCACCAAACGGTTCAAGGTCCAAATGAGAGTTTCAGTGCAGCTTCAAAGGGCTTTAAACGACACCAGACGATGAATAAGGGTCTTGTCTAGCGAAACCATTGGTCATTTCAAAAATAAATAAAAAAGTTTAAGTTTTATAAGCACAAATGCTCGCCTTACTCTGTTCTGTGATGCGCGTTCGTGACTCTCCTGTCATCAAAATGAACAAATCTTTTTTTCGAGTCATTTCGTTTGTTGAATGAACCAAGTGACCCGGAAAAAGATTCGTTCATTTTGATGAACGAGTTCGAACAGGAGAGTCACGAACCCTTATTCATAGTCTGGTGTTGTTTAAACCCCTTTGAATCTCCACTGAAACTCTCATTTGGACCTTGAACCGTTTGGTTCCCAATGAAGTGCATTATACGGAGAAAATCCTAGAAAGTTTTCATCAAAAACCTTAATTTTTTTTCGACTGAAGAAAGAAAGACGTGGACATCTTGGATGACATGGGGGTGAGTAAATTATCAGCAAAAGTTTTTTTTTAAAAAGTGAACTACTCCTTTAAGAGATGCTTGCCAGTTAGAAAGTAAAGACAGTGAGTGACGCCAAAATCAACACAATATTTGACTTTCTTCAATCTTTCTTCAATTCTTTTGAAACAACATGGTCATTAGCCAATCATATTAGGTCTGGATGCTTATGCAGATGCTAACTTTCAATTTTGTGTTGTCATTTCTCCTCAGTGTACGTATATGCTTTGTGCATCTCCACTGGTGTCTGGAGAAGAAATCATCTCATCTTTGTCAGGTAAGCAATCAAAGACTCTTCTCCTCTCCATCTCTGCACAGCTTTCATCCTGTCCGTCAAACTCCAACAGAGTTTCGAAACAGGAACCATCAAACGGACACTCACAAACTTAGAGTATTTCTAACCGCACTGATACTCTCCTGTCTACAGTCTCTAATGACTTGTAAGGCAGCTGTGGGACGTCTGAGGTCTACTTTTCCCGCTCATTGATGACCCTTGTTGTGTCTTCAGGCTGTTGCCTGGATACTAGGGCCGTAGAGGTGGCCTTGACCGTGTGGGAAATGAAATGGGCAGTGCTAATGGCTATCGGGAGACAAGCTTCAAAGCCTCCAGGGCCCAATCTGACGAGTGTAAACAACTTTCTCATAAACATAAAAAACGTCTCCTCCTCACAAAACCCTCCTCTACTTCCAAGTGACAAAATTAGGCACAAACAAAGCTTTTTTGCAGAATCCAGACCCTGATCATAGCGATGAGCTGGATATGTTGTATTGGTTGAAAGGGACTAGGTATATTTAGCACTGAAGTACTTCGCTGCAGTATTTCACGGATTCACACTCACATACAGAGATGTATAGTAACGAAGTAGAACTACTTAAGTACTATACTTAAGTACTAAAATGCTATATCTATACTCTACTAGAGTATTTTTTTCTCATACTTCTACTTTTACTTGAGTAGATATTTTCGATGAATTTAATACTTTTACTTCGATATTTTTTTAATGTTCTGCTAGTTACTCGTTACAATTAAAAAAAATTACGAATCATTCATTGCAAGTTAGCTTTCATGCTGCCTAACTGCCTAACGTTATCTAACTCAGCGGTTCCCCCTGGGGGGCCACTAGATGGCGCTAGGGGGGCCGCAAAGAAATTCTAGAATATGAAATTATTTTAAAAAATTATTTTACCTGTATGTAAGTTTGGATTGTCCTATGTGAAATCTGCATTGCATGATTTCTTTTTATATTGTAAAACTTGTATAAAATTGTATGTCTTCTATATTGAAAAAGTATTTCTTTAAGTAGAGTAGAATTTTTTTTTTGTTTCTTGCTGAAAAAACAGATTGCTGTTCAAATTTGCAAACCAAACTTGAGCCACTCTCATTTACTACCTTAAAATGTAAGAAGTTTAATGCACTTTTTTACAATCAGCAAATTAATTTTTCAGTGTTCTTCTTTTACTATGAACATCACAAATGTTCAGTATTCAATACTTTTGTTGCACTTTTCAGACAATATTACTGTTAACTGTCAAAACCATTTTTTATAAAAAATTGTTATATTTAATGAAATGTACAATTTAACTAATTTTGTATATTCAAAGACATAAAGCTACAAACAGAACTGTTGTTCCAGCATTGTACAAATTAATTTGGTTTTGGTACATTCTAAAATTTGTAAGTAAAATTGTACGTTTGAGGATGTTTTCGTTATGAGTTTTCTTTTGGGGGGCCACAAAAGGATTCACCCTACACAAGGGGGCCTCCTCCTGAAAAAGTTTGACTGAGTGAGATGACGCCCTAGGATAGCGTCATCTAACTGACGTTAAAGGGTTCCCTAAAGCGTCGGATGTTGACGTATGGTCAAAAGCGTCAGTTAGATGACGTCTTGGGATGAGAATGTGTTGGTCGTACCCAAAATTCCTTCTTTTACGAAGTGCAGAGAATTCAGTCATAGCAGGTGAAAAGTTATCAAGCGATTTACTGAATGCATTACTAATCAGTTTTTTTTTTCTATCTCACTTAGTTTGTTTCACACATACACGCACTTCTGAGTCAGATGGCTCTTACCAAAGGTGCCCTCAGAGGGAATCAGTGTGAATCTTAAAGTGAGAAGAACCATCTTTATTTTAAAACCAAATGTATAAGCATTGCGTAGGTTGGTGACCTGATGCCTCATAAAGTAGGAGGCCTGTGAATTGCTTTAGGCGCACATCACACACTGAATTCGACATGTCGAAAACAGTTCTCCAATAATCATTTTAAAATTCTTGGTCATTGTTAATTAAAATAATCAGACACTGTCGGTTTGAAATCACCATGCGAGCCTGCTTATCTGAACCACACGGCAACCCTTGCGCAGTGTGTAATTTCAGCACAGCTAATATAGCTTGACATCTTCTCTGGAAGATCAACACAGATGTGGGCTTGTGTACATGGTTGCCTAAACCCTAATTACCATAATTACATGTATGAGGCACAGTTGCGGTTCAATTGTACAACAGCCAGTGTAAATGGATGGGAAAATACAGGCTATTTGTTTTAATTCCCTTCTTTTAAGATGCTTGCGTTTCTTGAACGGGTGGCTGCACAAATCTTCGCCTCTGGTATTAGACCGGAGCCATTATTCAGCCATTAGTCTAAATGAGATAAGCTCTGCTCTTTGTTTCTCCTCTATGCAAACCTTTGCATCTTTTTGACAAGGCTGTGTTTTACGTCCAATCAGATTGGTTTGAAGGAAGCTGTTCGAAATGGCAAACCATCTGTTCATTCAGATCTCATAGAGTAATCGTCATTTTTCTTATTCTGAAGCAGAGGGGAGATAAAGAGAAAGAGAGAAAAAATAAATCGCTCCATCCGTTTGCTCATAATCAGCCTCCTCTGTCTGCATTATTAAACATCAGACCATCTGTTAATATTGATTCTTTATGAAAACAATACATCCCCTAAAGTTAATTGAGCGTTAATAATCAGAATAATCCAATGTGGTGGGTTTTTGTGGTTTAATTCATGAAATTGCATGGCACACTGCACTCTGCGTTCTCACATGATAATCCCCAGATCTCTGCGGCCGTTATATAAATTTCATAATCTCTTTCATAGTTTATGAAAGCAAGCAGGAGGTTGGCTGGATGCCCTATGGGCTGTTCTGAAACACAGGTTATGAAAATCCAACAGCCAGGAGGTTTTATAAAGAAGAGACAACCGACATCTGCAGATGAATTCAGTGCACATAGTGCTTTGGAGTTGTGTCGAGAGGTCCGGTTTGGATGTATGTCAAGTGTTCGTCCTCTAAGGTGGTGGCGAGGTATCGAAACTGAGAAGAAAAACAAGGGAAGTGGTTGGAAGTCGCTTGAATTGCAGGAAGAACTTGAGCCGTGTTGCACACCCTGGTAAAGACATCCATCAAAAGATTGAATGCTGTGCTGTTGTTTTTCCTGTCATTGTTTTCTTTTGCATAATTTATCAAAAGTCATGTTTAGCCCTGTAAGCGAAGTGACCTTCCCTCAAAACCACTGGGACGTGGAAACAATAGCCCTTTTTTATTTCATGGATATTCTTGTTTAGTGGGAAACAAAACACGTATTCAGGTGAAGATCTATATAAGGCAGCTTGCTCTCTGACACTTATTTCCACCTCAGAGAGGGTTTTTTTCTTACTTAACCCTTTAAGTAAGTGCCTTTGAACAATTTGAATCCCACCTGTGTTTTCACTGTTATATGGTAGGGGGTGCATATTCTGAAAGAGTACAGAATTTCCAACCCGATCTCACAGGAATTTGTACGAATTTTACGAGGTGGCTAATTCGTAACAATTCGTATGACCTCACTCGTACGAATTCGTACGATTTTGCTAAATCGTACATATTTTACGAATTAGCCAATTCGTTTGAATTCATACGAATGACCTACCCCTGACCCCGCCCCTAAACATAACCGTCACGTGGGTTTAGACAAATCGTACAAATTCGTACGAGTGAGGTCGTATGAATTAGTACGAATTAGCCACTTTTGAATCACTCGTACGAATTCGTACGAATTGGTCGTGAGATAGCGTAGGAATTTCTGCATCTAAACAGGGAAAAAGGAAGCAAAACAACTGATAAACACATTGCTTATGCACGTCTCAGCTTTTTGTTCAAAATTAAGAAAAAAGAATGCATGATGCTAGAATACAACATATTTTTTGTTGTTTAAAAGCAGAGGCTATGTTTTTTGTTTTTTTGTTTTTTCATATATTGCATGTTCAGATATTCATACAACAAAATATTCTGGGGGCCTTATAGGGTAACTAAACTTTAACCTTGGGGTGCGTTTCCCGAAAGCATCGTTAGCCAACTATGGTCGCAAGTTCCTTCGTTACCAATAGAGTTCAATGGAAACTGCGACCAACTTGCGACCATAGTTGGCTAACGATGCTTTCGGGAAACGCACCCCTGGTCAGAGCCTGACTCCACCCACTGGCAATATTTGAAAAATGCTGTAAAGTGGACAGACCCCAGTGGAGATAGAGGGGACGAAATAGATGCTACAACACTCTATCGTTACAGTGGTTTTGACGAAACAAGCTGTTTTTTATACTGCCAAGGGCGTAGCTCGTACCAAGAGCGTGTTGAGCTGAGAACCGCTAACATCCAATAGGGGAATTCAACTGCAGTAGCCACCGTTCAACCTGAAGAGGGCAGCACTAAGACGTTTTTACACCATATATTGTAGAAATAAAACACTTTATACACAAATGTCAAAAAAAGTTACTCGAATCAATGACTGGTATTAATAAAGATCCATTCTTATTTTTATATCCATTCATTAACTAAAAAAAGTTGGTTTAGGGTTTAGTTACTCTTTAAAAAAATTTTAAAATTATCAAAAATGCTAGCGGTGACTAGTACCTTTTTTAAAAAAAAAAAAGACTGGTGCAGAAAGAGTTAAATATACCAGTGTGACATTATTTATCAGGCAATTTTGTAGACAGGTTTACAGAAGATTCACAAGTGCATAAATGAAATGCTCTTTTTTACAAAATTTCTCTTTTAAAAAAACAATTTTCTTTGTTTGTATGTGGTCTGTTTAATTCTCTAATGTTTTTGCCTATCTTTACTTGTTGACAGGAATAGCCTGATTTCACCATTTCGATCAATCGCGCGTCCACTATCCCTGCTGATAAAATATAGACTGAGAGCGAGAGTCATTGATTTTGTCACCTAACTCGTTCTTAATGATTTGTCAGTGGGAGACACTAAGCTTTGTCAATAAAAGGCCACACACTGTTCCAGAAAT